ATCCTATCCCCAAAACCATATGCCTGGTAATAAGACTTGTTTCACAGAGATCTATTGCGTCTTTCCTGAATTGGTGCGAAAATTTTAGCCACAAATATACATAAAATTTTTGAAAGTGAAGAAAACTTTAAAATTGTGAAGGCAAGTCAGGCGTTTCCTTAACAAGTTTCGCCTGAAACCTTTATTTTTCGATAAGTCTATGGCATCCTTTCCCACAAAACACAAGCCATATATTATATATATATAAAGTTCGTTTCAGCCGACCAAAAATTATCAAAAACTCTCCTTGTAACGAAAGTTTAAGTTTTGATTGCTAACAACTCTCCATCTTGTAAAATGTCACAAACAACGTTAAAAGAGTATAAGCTTACCCCTCCAAAGAATTTGGCACAATTACACAAGACAAACATTGATTTAGGTATGTACATGATATAGTCTAAATTTATTTATTTTTTTTTGTGGATGCGTCTAATCTGAGTTTACTTATGTTCTTCGAAACGTTAATTCTAGGCTATCCCGATTTCTATCCTCCAAAACATGGCCAAGAAGAGGAATTGATGACAGAGTACAATGTAAAGCATGGATTTGCCGACAAGCCTATTGTGTCAAATGAATATGTCTCAGCACATGACATCCTTTTGGAGAAAATTAAAGATCCGGAACGCCTTCAAAACCTGAGTGAATTTATGATTGACATCATGAAAAGAAAGCAAGAGATAGAGATAAATGCTTTACAGGGGTCAGTGTTCATCGACTTGGTCAAGCGAAATTATGCAAAAATTAAATATCCAACATCCTTTTGTATAGTTCTTCATCATACACCGTTCCACAGACAGTTTGGGTGACTCCTGATGACAGAGATAAGTGGCTAAAACAACTGGCTGGTAATGTGCCCCTAAGAGAGTTGGTGAAAAAAGTGCCAAAAGGGTATGCGATTTTCTTAAGAACATTAACAAATGCATGCGCATTGATTGATTTTTATGTATTACGCTAATAATCATAAATTCTCGGCATATAGTGTAGATGGTACTAATTTATTGGAACTCGTCACTCAATATCGAGTGCCGTTGGCAAGAGCTACATGGTTTACTAAGATAGTGGGAATTAATTTAACAGTAAGTGATTTTACATCGGGCGTTTTTTTTATTTTTCCAAATCATGTTATGTAACTTCATCTCGCATATCTGTTGGCAGCACAGTGATATGCATCGTAATTCAAATGCCTCAACTGGGCATACAAAGAATTGGACTCAGGCATTCTGTACTTTTATACAACAACAAAGTAAAGAATATGATCCCGAAAAATGGCGATATAGGTACTTGGTTATTTTTAAACGAATAATTTCTTAGTTAAGTCATCATATCCTAGATATTAAATATGTACATTAATATATTTTTCAAAGCATATCACTTGCTAAATGGCAATTTGACGAGGGATTGTTCGATCAAAGGCTTCTACGGGAAATGCTTGATAACCTTGATCAGGCCGATCCTTTACATACAGCCATATGGTTATTTTTGGTTCAACAATTCTTGACCGAGTTCCAACGTTCTCGAACTCTTATGAGACTGTTGATAGAAATAATATTGAAGAAATTACAAGATGTAGGTTTGGCTACCTAATTTAATTATTTTTTTTTTAGAAGTTTTATCACTAGATCATACGACATGAGTTTTCTATATTCCGACCTTAGATACATCACCAGACATTAGTTTCAAAACTTGAGATTGTTGTGAAAATGTTGAAAAATATGTTACACGTAAGAACATTTTATATTATATTAACTTTTAGTTAGGTTAATATTTTCAGCATAAAGTGATTATTTTATTTGGGGCAGGCACTTTTCCTTGCCACACCCGATATGTTTGTATTCCCAACTTGCTGGAACACGCACAAAGACTTGCTGCGTCG